TACTATGCTATTCTTGCTGCTGCATTGTTGCATCAGTGCCCTCAGTCTTTTTAAGGTGAAAGAAAGGATAATTGGGCTGAATCAAACTGAATCTTATTTTAACTATATCACATCTTAGGACGCTCAAGTAAAAAAAAGCACTAAAAATACCAACAGACAAAAGAGAGCATGGTTTTTATGGAAGATTGATTTATAAGGAGTATAGGGTCTGAGGAATGAACCTAGTATATGGTATGTACTACAAATTCTCGTCATGACCAGTATTTTGAATTGCATACAGGACAGGAATGTTCTGGTGTATTAGCTCTCTTGAGAGCTGAACATTTCTGTTTTAATGCTTTGTGAAGGAGCATAAATATCTTCAGCTGGGGGAAATATTCTCACTTCTGATATTACATCAGATATTGCACTTCAGTCATTTTGCTTGTTGCATGCAGCATTGAGAATCGGGAAATTTAATTGCATTGGTGGGTTATTTCATATAGCTTACCTGTTGGTGTAATGATTATGATAAACCAGGACTAGCAAGACCTGAGTTCCTATTTTTCTTTTCTTTAGGTCATTGTAATTGTAGATAACTCACACTACTTCAAAAGCTGAAAGGAAAGGAAATTGCGGTGTGGGAGGGATTTATCATCTTCACACTTAGAAGCTACTGGGGGAAAAAGTATAAGGAAGACATGCATTTACTCCACCCCTGTTGCATGTGCCAATTCCTAGGTCTAAAAGGGACAATAAAGTCAACCAGTGAGAAGGCTGGTTGACTTTATTGTTCAGAAAATGTTTTTTTCCTTTAAATCAGTGCCTCTGAATGGGATGGCTGGATTAAAAAAACAGCAATAGAACAGCTTTTTATTCAGTAAAGTTGGGAAAGTATTTTTAGTAAAGTACTTGGAAGTCAATACAAGCCGAACTGAGCAACTGCAAAATTATGAGCTGGAAGAAAATGTATCCAGTATTAGATTTTAGATTTATAAAAGCATGCAATATCTTTTAAAATATGTAGATCTACTCAGTTGGTATTCCTCAGCTCCAGGACTTTGCTGTATTTAGTGGCATGTACCGGTAGTGGTTTGAAGGAGTCCATCAAATTACACCAAGAGCAAATAGCCTTAAGGATCATTCTGTATCCTCTGACTTTCATGTATTCATAGTATTCACTTGAAAAAATACTTCTAAAATGATTTGCTTTTATTCCTTAGATTTGAAATTGATCGTTCTTAATGGTAGGGGAAAAAAATAATCCCCTCTGTTCATATTTGAAATAGGAGCTTCTAGAATGCTTGGCTTGAATCTAGCATATATAGATTTTTCTTGAATAGAATTTTGAACTTCAGTGTATTTGGTAACTTTTTCAGTTGGCTGCTACCTGTATTTTTGTCTGTGTTTTCTGAATCAGGAGTAGATTGTTTAGTCCTGTACATTATCTCAGTATATTTATTTCAAAATTTAGACACAATTTTAGCTTTATTCTAAGTATCACTCAAAGGACAACTCTGTGTATGTCAGAGAGATAAATCCTTGCCATCCCAAAGTGCAGAGCTATTATGTTCAGGATCATCAAAGTACAAATTGTTTCTAAAGGTCATCAAGCTTTGAATTCCTTCTAATTCAAAGAAACGTCCAGAGAAGTATGCAATGTGCAACTATTACCTGCTTTATGGATGAGGTCCTGGACTGTTGGCCACCTCAATTGAACAGTATTTTTGTAAGCAACTATGTCATTCTATCATATGATGAGAGTGAACATGCCTCATTACTTGTAGCCGAGGAAAACAAGCTGCTGCTTGTTTTTGAAGAGTAGGAGAGCTTGCTGACGATTTTTTTTTTTTTTTTTTCAGTTGTGGCAGACAAAGAGGATGTCAGGCAATTTCTGAAGCGTTTTTTGTTGCTTAGCTTATTTTAAATAGCATTTCACCATCAAAACTATTCTATGCTGTTTTGGTGTTTACATGCCATGTCACGTAATCTGGAATCATGGAATTCCCTGCAATCATGGAACCTTTGTAACTTTTTATGTGGATCTACACCAGGGGACCCCAAACTTGGCAATTTTAAGACTTGTGGATTTCAACTCCCAGAATTCTCCAGCCAGCTATGCTATGCTGGCTGGAGAATTTAAAGTTGCGAAGTTTGAAGACCTCTGATCTACACTGTGACTTTCTTGCTTATATAAATATGTCAGGTGGAAAGATTCCTGGTGGTTGCATAGCTGTTTAAGTTCATTTTCTTTCTACTAAGATTTACAAGAGTAATTTTTCCTGGTGTTTGGATGTAAGGGCCAGACCCAGATAATACTTAATGTTCAGGGTTATCTTTTCATACCAACAGCTGGACAATCTGTGACTCTTGGTTTTTTGGTAGTGTGGTGGGCCCTGAGAGGAAGTCTTTGAGAAAGAACTTAGAGTAGGGTGGGGAACATACTGCCATCCTTATATTGCTGAACTGTAACTAAGCAACTTGTTTAATTGGATGTGATGGTTGGGGCTGAGGAGAGCTATACTTCAGTAGTAATTGCAGCAGGAGTAAGTTTTGGTCTTCCTTTCCATTGCTTGATTCACCCACAGGTGAGGGTTGATTCACCCACAGGTGAGGTTTACCTTTTGCTAAAAACCACTCCACTTCCTGCCTTGCATATTGTTGGTTCCCAGATTTTTACCTGTAATGTCCCTAGCCTCCAGTTGTTTGAGAACTCATTTGAATAGTCAATATCAGTGCAAGCATCTTTCTTGTGTCAGGATGGGAAGGCAATAGTCTGCGGCCCAGCAACACTTTCTAATTTTAATGGTTTAATTTTAGTGGTAGTGCTATCAAAACTTAGAACAGATGCCATATTTCTTGTTTCAAACAGAGAATGCCTTCATCCTGCACAACTCCGATTAATTCACAGCTGAAAGCATCAGAACCTCTTGTTGCTCCACTTGCTGTACTACACTATGGGGCCTGCTGAGATACCCCCATGAAAAGCTGATGACAAGTTTTCCTTTTACAAAGGTAGCTTGGCTTCCTGTTTTTTTCAAGAGAAGAATGAGAGCTAATGTGCATCTCATCAAGTATCTCTGCTGGAGGTGGTAGGATTCATTTTTTTTACTACCAGTTCTGTGGGCGTGGCTTGGTGGGCGTGGCAGGGGAAGGATACTGTAAAATATCCAGTCAGAGGTGGTATTTGCCAGTTCTCTGAACTACTCAAAATTTCCGCTACTGGTTCTCCAGAACTGGTCAGAACCTGCTGAATACCACCTGAGGGATGATGAGTTGCAGGTGGTATTCAACAGTTAAAAGTAAGGAGGTCGTAGGAATTGTAAAATTATTCCACATTGGTTATTTCTAGATTTAACAGTCTGCTATGAAAACGTTAACAAAGACTCCGGGAGTTAAATATGATTTGATGCCTACAGAGGTTCAGTTGTGTCCTGTAAAAAGAAGTTAAATGAATAGCACTGTTATTCAATTTTAAAATTAGATAGGCAGATTGGAACTTTCAGTGGAAAATATAACTAAAAATAGTCTGTTTTAAAATCTAACAAAGTCAATAAATTGTAGTATTATTTCAGTGTTCTGAAAACCTCTGTTGCTTTGGCTTGCTAAATTTGATCTTGACCCATTCTGAATTTCTTTTTAAAAATAGTTTTCTTCTGAATCAAAGTAGTAAAATTAATAATTCAAAATTATTAGAAAATCCTTAGATGTACTAAAAATAATGCAAAAAAACAAATGTACTGCATTCTTGATGGCTGTTAATGTCTGAAATATCTCCAGAGCTACAAATACAAGGCCTTTGCTTAGAACTCCTGGATGTGTACCAAGATCAACAGAGTCTTTGGTGCGGATTGTAACATAAAATGTACGTTATAGTTGAGGCAATCCATGAGATTTTAGATATAACTGTAGACTAGAAGAATTCATCACTAGAGAGGAAGCAACTCCTATTAAAATTTCTCTTCACATTTTTTTGGTAACTGGTCAAACAACCCACTTAGTGGAGTCTTCTTCACATGGATTCTCCTATTGTTCACCAAAACAATAGGGCTTTCCTTTTCTTTTATTCCTGATGCTCTGTTTTGGCAACACAACTTTCCCAAGTTAGATGTATGTACACAGGCACCCTTTGGATATGTGGAACAGGCAGAAAAGCTCCAGCTGACCATTATTTCCAGTTTCAATTCTTCCTCAAAATGAATACCTTGCAACTCTCAAAAGTCACATTCATATAGTGTAACTTAGATTCAGTTACTCTTCCAGTTCTAGTGCATTTAAGTGGCAAAGCAGATGAATGGAATAAAAAAATCACAGTATCTTTTATACTCTCAGTTCCTATTGCAGACCTCAAATTCCTAAAAATTGGTGTCATTTTCCTTCTTGTTTCATATAAGAAGTGTATAAATGCTTAAATCAGATAAAATTCATTTACATATACAGATATGAGTTCTGAATTCACACAGCTGTACAGAATTTATATGTTGTTGCAGCATTTAACAATGAAAGAACTGATAACTGACATGAGCATGATTCCTTGGGTTGTTCTCCTTGGCCACTTTCTACCTGTATCTTTTGCAAATATTATTGGATTTCCAAGTTACAAGCAGCAAATTAAAAGCATGCCTAGCTGCCTTAAAGATTGCAAAATATTGATTGTTATTCCTGTAATAAAATTCTTCACTGTAGAAGCTTTTCACTTCTATAATTGTTGTTTTTAAATTTTTCCAAATAGCCGTGAACTAGTTTTGGGAAAACTACAAATGGCTGCCAACATATTCCAGAAAGTAATGTAGAGTATTGCAAACGGTGGCTTGCAAAATCTGAGGCTGTTGGTTGTAGATTGCAGTCCAAACTGGACCTGCTGACTACCACTCATCAACAGGTGTGCTGTAAGCTGAGATTCTAATTTATGTTCAAAAGGGGGAAGCTGCAGGCAAGGCATCTCAATTACAAGATCTCATGGCAACAAGTATGAGCTGAGTGTCCTCAAAATAGCCACAGGGAGGCTATATAACAAGAAACTCTGCGGGGGAAACCATCAGTCCTCCACAGATCTTCACCACGTGTTGTGTGGTCTCACACACAAAACGCACACACACACGCAAACTCTGAAAGGAACAGAAAATCATCTCTGGGTTCCTCTTCACCTTTTCTTTGCAAGATTTTGGGAGGAAATACTCCTTTGGATCTCACGACATTATTATAGTTTTGCACCTCACCTTTGTGAGGTAGCTCTTCTACTTTCTAAGTTTGTTCATTTTCCTCATCTTGCCTATCTGTTGGGCTTTTTTGCCCTCTGTGACCATGAAATACTACTGCCCAGGTTCACTTCCTAGGTACAGGCGATATGCAAGGCACCTCAAGACTGTGCGTTTCCCCAATGATGTTCTCTTTCAGGACCATATTCGACAGGGTGACTTGGAGCAAGTAGGACGTTTCATTCGGGCCAGGAAAGTCTCCTTGGATACCATCTATCCCTCTGGTACGTGGAAGTCCGATTGGAGGGTGGCTGAGTAGGAAGTTGTTTGATCCCACATTATGGGTTGAATGTTAGGTTGTATTTTCAGTGTGTGATTTAAGGAAACAATGGGGAGCTTTCTTCCTGTCTCTCAGTTACCATATAGCCCACATTATTTTAATAGAATCATTCAAGAGGGTTATAAGCCTAAAATGCTATTACTTCTTATAGTACCCTCACCAACCTATTTCCTTTATATACATAGTAATTTGCTTCAGTATAGCAAGAGACAAAAGAACAAACCAGGATGAGCAATAAAATAGAGTACATCTTCTCATAAATACTTTGAAGGCTTAAGCGAAACTCTAAGTTTGAAATAGCTTGATGTTTTTGAGGCATTAACTCTGGTTATTATCTCAGTGCATGGACACCTTTGCAAGAAAAAATTGCAAGAGGAAAGGTGTAGAAATGATAATTACAGGTTGCAAAATCCCAACTAAAATGATGGCAGGATGAGCTTAATCTTTCTGAAAGACATTGTTTAGTCTTATCTTCCTGATTTGATGCATTTCAGATTTTGTTGGGACTGTAACTCCCAGAATTTCCCAATAGGTTTTGGCCATGCTAGGAATGCCATGGGTTACAGCCCTAATTCATGTGGAAAGTGCCAAGTTGGAGAAAACTGGTTTAGGTTATTTTAGCTCAACATTGTAAGACTATAGGAGGCTTTTTGTGGATCATTTTGCTGTTAGGGAGACTGGCCTTTATTAATTCCCTTGGTTAATCAAATAGTTCTCAAAAATTTTTAGAAAACATACTCAGGAATCTTGATTGAACTTCTATTTCTTTTTTGCCTCAAGTGAACAGTCTTAAGAACATCAACAGATCTATGTGGATGCATGTTAACTGAACAGTTTTAATTCTCTTTGTTTACTTGAAAGATTTTTCTTGTGCTAAGATGAAAAATGTGCTAGTATCCCCTCAGTTTATAATGACCTTGTCTGTCACAGACCAGAGTTTGATATATCTTTTCCAATTAGGAATGGCTGCCATCCATGAAGCTGTGCTTGCTGGGAACCTCGACTGCGTCAAGCTCTTGATAAAATATGGCGCTGACATAAATCAGAAAGATGATGAGGGCTGGACACCTCTGCATATGGCCTGTAGCGATGGCTATGCTGACATTGCAAGGTCAGAGACGGTTTACCTCATTCCCCCTTAGGCAGCTGTGCCACTCTCCCAGTAAACAGGAATTATATGGCCAAGGAAAACAAGAAGGGGAAAATGATCGCACTACTGAATTTCTGGGTAGCGAACTTTGAAATGGCAAGAAATAGTGCCTGCTGGCTCATTTCAAGACATGGATGAATCCTCTCTTATCTCACAGCGCTCTCATCCTGACACCAGCAGTGCTGATAATATTTGTTGGCAGATTAACTAACGGTGGAATTGCCAAAATGCCAAGCAATTTTTTACTGGAACTCTTATATTTTATTTATAAGATTGTTATTTTTATGGAAACCCAAAACCTCTTTTGAGTCACATTATAACATTATAAAGTCCTCCATATTGCTTTAAATATAATGTATAAGAGAAGTTGGTACATGTCAGTAGGACTATGCACGTGGGGAAACCAATTTATTTGATTCCGACTGCAACTCTTGGTTCTCCTTCCAAAGCAGAAATAGCTCTAGGCTTTTGTGTGCCACTGTATTCTCCAGGTGTGAATAGTATAAAGGGGTGAACCTGCCTTAAGGAAATTTGAGAATAGAGATGATTGAAATTGCAAATTCTTATTGCAATTATTAAAAGGGAGTAAATGATATCCAAACCATATTATACAGTGAACTACTTAAATGGACTGAATATTTTTACACAGAAGTAGGTTAATCCAGACCCTTTCAACCTCTGCTGCATTTCATGACTTTCTTTTCTGATCTTCCAGGTACCTCATCTCTCTTGGGGCCCAGAGTGATGCCACCAACAATGAGGGAGATAAACCATCTGACCTTATTGACCCAGAATACAAGGATCTTGTGGAGCTTTTCCAAGCAGCCCATGTAAACTAAGACTGTTATCTCTTTAACTTTTTTCCATGTGAAATCCAGTTTCCATGGCAGACAACATAATTTGTTGTAGGAAGGGGGAAACTAGCAAAGTTGCTCCTATTAAGTTGGTAAGGGAGTGTAAAATCTCCTAAAGGAGGTCATACTCTAACTGCAATAGGTATATATGAGACTGACTACTTGGGGATTTCTGAGAGACATGCTTGGGATAGTCCATCCAAAAAGAAATGAAACATTCTTAATCGTGGTTCATTGTCCAATTCAATAGATGACATATACTGGTTCTGGTGGTGTGACTGTGTGGGCAGTTTACATATATGTTTGGGATTGGACCGGACACTAAATTTTGTAAGCATGTATCTTCCAGTTCTCATTTTGCTATTACTAATTTTGAACTATGACCTCATTTTTCTGAAGAATCCCCACAAAATAACTATGAAAATATCTACCTTCAAAATGACATATGTATGTACATATGGATTATTCTAATCTAAAACATAGTGTATAATGTTCTATTTTTAATGTGTTGCAGATTCTAGATTTGCTTTTATACTGTATTTTTTATTTGATTCCAAAACAGCTTTTTATTTTTTCAATAAAGGAATTCCCAAATCTTGGGGTATTTTTCTTCCTTCTCTTCTCAATAATGGTAGCCAAGCTTTGGTTGACTCATTTGGTTTTGGTTATGATGCAATAAAACTCTTCTCATGGAATCAAAATCCATATGGGGAAAAGAGCATTTGGATTTGGAATAAGCAATTCCAGTGTCCAAAGCAACATGTATTGTCTAAAAAGCAAAACAAAAAATGAAAATGATACTTTATCCAAGCTTGAATTGTATGCATTCTATTATAGTTAAACCTCCGGAGCTGGCTGTAATATCTGAAAAAAGCATTTTTTAATTGCATCTAATTTACTAAAATTCATTGAAATTATTAACTATTTGGATATTTTTATAGCATCAACAATATGAAATATGCTGTAAGAGGCTGCCTTTTCAATGGGAGGAGGGTAAATAATGCAAGAAGTCAAGTAAAACCCTGTATGCAGAGTCATGATGTAATGTAACAGCTTAAGAGAAGGTGGATGGTTTATAATACCATTCTAATAGATTTTATATATTTATTCATGCAACTACTGAGCACCAGGACTTGGATAACTCTTAAAGCTAATGCATTGTACATGCAATATCATGTAGTATAAAGGTCTGTAAGTTCAATTCTCAATAGAGGGTTTGAAGCCCATAGAAATATATATAGCTGCCCACCTCTGAAGAGTCCCAAATAGGATAAAACCGGTCATACAGTGCCTGCATACTGATGATCAGTGTAACTGAGAGTGCCACACAATGTCAAATAGAGAAATTCTTATGACCCTTGTGTGTGTGTGTGTGTGTGTGTGTGTGTGTGTGTGAGAGAGAGAGAGAGAGAGAGAGAGAGAGAGAGAGAGAGAGAGAGAGATGTAAAATCCCATACATAGATGCATAACATAAAACTATATTTGTCTGCTCTGAAAGTGTAAGGAAAGTAGAGTATATATACCATTCTAATATAAAAATTAGTGATGAAAGAAAAATATAGGGCTCTGGTGTGGTTATTCAAATTATTCCTAGGTTTTTCCTATGATACACAGTGCCCAAAAATATGCTGCTATTGGGCTTCTTAGTTGTGAAAGATTTCGGATGCTAAAATGTTGGTTCTGCAAATAGACTTAGGACATGTTATATATTATTTTTTTTCCAAATAACTTGTTTTAGCTTGGTAATGACTCAGTCCAGAATTAGGCCCAGAGCAAATTAGATAAAGAGATAAAATTAGATATGACCTATCTTTGAAAATGATGTTTTGTGGCTGGGCCTCCCTCAAAACGCACAAATTGAGTGATAAAAGTTACTAGCTTATAATTGGGCAGTTTTTCTCAGTGTGAAAATCATTTTTTTTTTGAACAAATTTTATTGATTTTCCAAAACAATACACAGACAAACAAAACATAAAATATAATGACATAAGAGTTTTTTTTTCTTAAAAAGCCAATACAACATCTTATTTAAAGACAGAATTATTCCAAGTTATCACATTTCCAAACAAGCACAATTTAGTATATATATTTACCTTATCTGTTCATCTTCATATCTTATCCCAAACTTCTCTTTATTACTTCCTTTCCTTCTATTTATTCAAATTATATCTCTTTAACTTTAGATTGTGTACATTTTTTATACCCATCTGTCTTATACATTTTCATTATTCTCTTCCAATAAAAAAACAAACAAGACATAAAACATAAAAACATAAACATATTTTCTGAAAGTTGCTTGATCCCAGGTTAAAACTCATCGTACAGACACCTCTTCAAAAATCATGTTCCTTTTATATATCATTCCATATCTTATTACCGTTTTCCATTTTCTATATAGCTTCTTCCTTTTTTTAACTTAGTTTTATTCTACTTGTCTCAGTTCAAGTCATAATATTTAACATTCTTTGTCTGTTCTCAGTTATCCATTCATTTTTTCTCTTTAAACAAAACCTCTCCTGTACACTAATTAGAGTATGACCCCTTTAACTCTTTCCCCTAACCTAATAATACTTAATATCACACATAACTTGTATTGGGATTCTGTTTAGCACATCCTAAAGTCACACAATATATTATATAAAAAGAAAAAGAAAAAAGAAAAAACGACAATAACAAAGAAATTTATAGATATATAATATAGGTAGTACCCCTGTCAAAACCATTTTAATCGTACCTATTGATACTTATTTATATATTTATATCTTAAACATTTTATTCTATAAATGCCTATAATAACACAATCTTATGTACTTTACAGAATCCCTTTTTCAATTGTTTACCCATTGTCTCTAAATAAATTTTGTTTCCTCAGATCTTGCTTCCCATCATTGAGACTTCTCACCCCTTCCTTTCCCCCTTGCTTATTCTTTTCCTTACCCTTTTTCCCCCTTTGTCTTTGCACCTCCCTTTTCTTCTTGTGCTTTCCCCCTTCCTGTTTTTTGCTAACCTTATATCTACCCTTCAACTCATTTTTATCTTTTTTGGTTGTTTTTTTAGGTTTTAAAATCCCTTTTTCCTTTTCCTCTTCCTCCTTCTTCTCCCCCAATAGGGTCACATGTTCATCAAAAATGGTTCCTTCTTTGTCCCAATTATCCTGCTGCGTAATCAATTCTCCATAGGAATGCACCGCCATTTCTAGAGATTGAAAAAGAATGTCCAAGGTATCTTTCCAGTCTTGTTCTTCCTTTTTATATTTTAGATATTCAGTTTTAAATTCATCCAAAAGTGGTGCCATTATAAAGAGGAGAAATTTTTCCCAAAACAACCACCCGAGTGTTTTTAAACAAAGAAAAAAAAGTTTCGCAAAAGATGCAAAGTCACCAAACAATCCAGATAGACTATTTCATTTAGCACTTTTTCTCTTCTTCCATTTCTTTTTCTGGGGTTGCTATTAAATCACAAAATTCCAATTATAGTATGTCTTTTGAAGTCTTATTAATGTTCAAATGGCTCTTTAAAATTCTAGGCAGTCTGCTCCTTATTTTCAACTTCAATTTTTTTCCTCTCCCTTCCCACTCACAGCAGAAGAAAAAAATTTCTTTAGATATTTAGAAATCCATATCCCTTTAACATTAGCATAGTCTTTAGCATTTAGCATACCTTCAATGCGGGTTTCCGATTTCTCTCAAAGCTGTTCCGTTTGGAAGGAGAGTGAAAAGAAAAAAAAGTTTTCCCTTTGATATCCATTCGCTGCTTAGTGTGAAAATCATTTGTGTCACATAAGTTAGCATGTTTTGACAAAACTTAGAGCAGTTAGGCTAAGCACAGTCTCATCACACTATCTAAAAATAAAGAATGCAGTTTTTCTATCTTCAGAATGTTTGTTTATTTAGAAGCAATTTTAATAATGATATTGATAAATGAAAATGCTTAGTAAGCTTCTGAAAGTCCTGAGTAGAATTCTCCAAAGTGAAACTTGTATGACCTATACAAGTAATCCTCAATTTACAACAGTTCATATACTGACTATTCAAAGTTACTACGGCACTGAAAACAGTGACTTACGACCGTTTTGCAGTTACAAACTTTTGCAGCATCCCCATGGTCATGTGATCAAAATTCAAATGCTGAGCAACTGGTTCATATTTATGCGCGTTGCTGTGTCCCAAGCAGTGGTGGGATTCAAATTTTTTTGCCACTGGTTCAGTGGGCGTGGGTTGGTGGGCGCGTTTTGCATGCATGCACACACTTTGTGTGCACGCACATGCGAAACGCGCACTTTGCCTAGGCGCAGAGGCGTTCTAACTCACCTCCTGCAAGCCTGCACAATCCTGGTTGCTTTAGCAGCTGCCGCGTGACACTATTCTGTGCCGCACAAAGCAGCTGCACTTCAAATTCAGCAGATAAAAGTGAGTATAGGAGCCCGGGCAGGCGGGGGGAGGGGGGCAACCGCAGAGCGGTGGAGATAACTGGTTCAGTCTCCACTGCTCATCACTCCTACCAGCTCGTAAGAACCGGCCCGAACTGGTTGAATACCCCCACTGGTCCCAAGGTCATGTGATCACCTTTTGCAACTTTTGACAATCAAAGTCAATGGGGAAGCCAGATTCAATTAACCGGGTTACTAACCTATCAACTACAGTGATTTACTTAACAACTGAGGCAAGAAAGATCATAAAATGGAGCAAAATTCACTTAACAACAAAAATTTTGAGCTCAGTTGTGGTTGTAAATCAAGGACTACCTGTGCTTTTATTTGCTGTTCCTAAAAAAAATAGAAAATTAAGCAAAAACAAGCACCCACCTTCCCTCACCTTAGGTAAGTTTTAATTGATATAAATGTTGAACATTATCACAAGTACTTCATAGCCCTACTTATGAATATAAACATTAGGTTATAGTGTGGCATGTTGCTTGAAGTGATCACAACGTTTTTGTGATGAAGACTGAAGAGCTTCAAAATAATTAACTGAATCCTCAATTACAAGTTTTTCATTTTTTTCTGTGAATCCCTTCTAGTCAGTCCCAAAATACTATGCAGAATCATGAGTGGGAATTAAACTTATGCACGACATTCAGTGGGACATACAGCATAAACTCCTGAAAGATGTTCCTTCCTATTATATTATGACTGATCCCACAGTCAGCCAAGTATTCAGATTGGATTTGGCAGTTTCCCTACCTAGCAAATCCTTGCCAAGGTTCTGGGATATGTAGCCAGTGTTGTTGATGGTGTTTAAAAGTATTGTTGCAGGATGCAAATTGTTCAAGTAAAGCTGCCTTTTGTAGTTGATTGATAATGATTTTGTTAATGCCAATGGTATTCAAGTATTATAATTACAACCAATTCACAAAGTGAAGTCACAGCTGGCAGTTTTTTAGTTGATACTGGTCTTCATGCACATCAAGTCTTCCCCAAACATAGAACGGTGTAATGTATTGATTAGTATATGTGAGGATCCAAACAGCGTGGCCTTCTGCAATTGACAGATGGAAATTTTGTGAATGTGCAGTGCTCATCCAATTTTTTTTGTTATGGTACCCCATGTGCCGATATCCACTGGGATCACTACATTTATGCCATAATCCTTCAATTTTGATTTTCAGATCTTGATACTTTGCGATCTTCAATTTGTGAAACCACCACTGGTTCTTTAGCTGATGTTCTTTAGCTGGTGTTAACTTTCATTCACACTGAGTTATTTCCAAGAATCTAGGACGTTGTAACAAATTGGCACGTTATATGAGCAGATCCAAGTAATGTGGCCTTTTGTAATCGATAGATGGAAATTCTGTCAACATGCAGATTTTCTAAGTGTTGTCCAAGCCTTTTTGACATGGCAGTGACTAGGATCACTATGGCTAGTTTATGTCATATTTTTTCAACTTTAATTTTCAGATCTTGATACTTTGTGGTCTCCAATTTGTGAAAATCACAACTGCCAAGTCTTAAATTGGTATTGACTTTCATTTCCATTGAGTTCTTCCCAAGAACCTAGGATGTCATAATTATATGTGCAGATCCAAGCAGTGTGGCTTTTTATAACTGACAGATGGAAAATTTGTCAATATGTCCTTTTGCTATGGGCACCAACCAATAATCAATGGGACTACCATGGCTGGTTTATGCCATAATCTTTCAATTTTGATTTTCAGATTTTGACATTTTGTGACTTTCTCCAATTCTTTTGTCTTCTATTTCAATATCTCCTGGTAATGTCACATCAATTATCAACAATTTCTTTTCAATCAGTTAAATCTGATATGTCAAGATTTTATTAGTTTGTTATTTCCAAAGCTTCGGCTAGAATTTCTATCATTATCTCAGTTAGATTTTGTCCTTTTTCTTCCTCTATGTTTTGAAATCTGAGATAAAATTCTGATCTCTCCATCTCCCATTTCAGCATCCAACTTTTATCTTGTTCAACCACTGTTAATCTATTATCAATATCTCCAATCTTCTTGTCTCTTTGTTTATCTTCTTCAATTTTTTGGAATTTCTCATCATACTTCAACATCACTTGTTGGATGTTCTCCACTTTTTCATCAGTTTTCCCTGTTCTTTGTTAAATGTTCTCTGTTCTTTGTTCAATGTTCTCTATTCTCTTTTCAATATTCTCTGATCTTACTTGAATATTTTGAATTCCTTGCATAATCATCTGTAAGGTCACTTTTTCTTGTTCTTTGTCTTGCTTTAACATTGTCTGGATTGAACATTGTCCTCCAGATGGTGGGGAGGCCGAAGTAGAAGTTGAAGGGCCAGAAGCTATCAATTTCCTGCTCATTTTAAATAATTCCAAAACTTCAGGTTCTTCTGAACCTTAATCCAATTATGGAGTGGCCAATTATAATCCAAAATGGAAAGTAAAAATGGTAGAGAGAAAAAAGCCCAATAATAATAAATAGAAAAGGAGGAAAAGTTTCTTCAGGTTCTTCTGAACCTTAATCCAATTATGAAATAGTCAATTGTAATCCAAGATAAAAGATAAAAATAGTAAAAAGAAAAAAGCGCAATAATAATAAGAAAATGAGAGAAAAATTTCTTCAGGTTCTTCATACCTTAATCCAATTAAGAGGTCTCAAAAATAAAAAAAAATAAAAACACAAAAATGAACCAAAAGTATGGATGGAAAAAGCAAAAATCCCAATGAAGAAAGAAAAAGAAAAATTTTGAGGCTTTCCCTTTAAAATAAAAAACCAAAAGTGGAAATATTACAAAAATAAAAGTTTTTTTTTTTTTTTAGAGAAAAGAGTATAGTAGAGCTGGTGAGGAGGGATAGCACAACTTAAAAAAAATAAAAAGAACACACTGCACTTTATTTAATTATCCAAGGCTCTTATTATAACTCTCTTCTCCACAAACTTCAAAACCAAGGTACAATTGTTGATAGAAATCCAGAAGAACACCTGCAATAACACTCTCCTGTGCTATTCCCTCTATCTTATCAGGTTGCAATGTCCTTGAAAGGGAGTCTTTCACAGCTTTCTCAGCTTCATCTAAGATATTTTCAAGCCTCTAGTTGGCAGTGTTACAAACTTTCTTTGGTCTCACTTTCCCCCTCCTTTCCCAGACAAAACGTAATAGAAGTTAAAAAAAAAAAGAAGAGAAAGTATATAAGAAAAAAGCCAGTCAACAAATGCTAAATCGCGATAGAAGTCCAGTAATAAAAAAAAAAGAAGTAAAAAGCCAAGCCTCACTTTGACATTTCCGTTTAAAAACCGCCGCTTATTCAGTTCTGTCAAAACTTTTACAGATTTTTTCTTTTCCTTAGGGTGTCCTTTTAAGTCTTAGAATAATGATAAAAAAGTTCTCACCAAACCGACACACTTTCTCTTCCAGTCTCTTCCGTTCCAGAGCTGTCCCAACTTCGGCAGCTTTAATGGCTGCCTCTCTGCCGCTGGCAAGGGCTTCTCCTGGATCAACCAGGGACTTTGCGATATCCACAGGATGCGCCCTTCACTATCACCGTGTCTATGGGACGGTTTAGGTCCGTTTGGACCAACCGGAGGCAAAGATATCAGCTGCAATCTCAGACCTCAGAAATTGCATGCCGTATCATTGCGACGTCAGCTCCGCCCTCCATATGTGGTGGACTTGTGAGGATGCTAGAAAATATTGGACTAAAATCCAAATGTGGTTGGAAAAAAATGACAAAGAAACATATAGACTTGAAACCAGAGATTTTTTTATTGGGAATTTTACCTGATACATACAGTAAAGATTTAAAATATTTGATTGTAAATGTATTAACAGCGGCTAGGATTGTATTTGCTAAAAATTGGAAAAATGAGAAAATACCATTACAGGAGGAAATTATTAAGAAAATATTGGAATGTGCTGAAATGAGTAGATTGACATTTGAAATTAGAGAACAAGAGGATAAACAATTTTATAAAATTTGGGACCTTTTCTATCAATGGTTAGATAATAAAATATAATAATAGAATATCTAGAATTTTAGAAAATAATGAATATATAAAGATGTATTTCTTTTTTTTGTTATCATATCTATAAAATGATTTTAGGGTAGATTTGGGAGGATTATATGAATTGTTATAAAATAAACTAAGTAAATTATAGTTATCTCGCAAAGTATGAATGAATAAAATTATAGTCAAATGATTGCTTAATAGTGACACTAGGGTATTCAATTTTTGATTGATAATATGAGTTATTATGCAATGTAACTGTAATTGAGACTATGAAATTTGTAACAAAAAAATTGTAAACCAACCGACACACTGCCTGTATACTTATGAAAGAAAGAAAGAAAGAAAGAAAGCTGGATGTTTTTATGTTTTGTTTGTTTTTGTTTGTCTTTAAAAACCAATAAAACTTGTTTTTTAAAAAAAGATTTTATTCGTTTGTATTTAAAAATCCAAAAATATTTTAATCTGCTCATGTTCAACTATATTTTCAATTATATGTTCCCACCAGTTTTTCATTATTGGCAGATAATTTTTACACATGTTCCAGTGAATCATTTTGGCAACTGTATTGTGCCACTGTTTTTAATCAGTTGTGCAATCTTTTTGCATGAGTTGAGTATCTGATCTGTTTCTTCTGCTTCTTGGCATCATCTGCACTTTGAATCATTTGATTAATTTTTTTAAAATTCTGGCCTTGATTCCATTAGTTCAAATAGCTTGCTTTTGAGCAGTCAAAATCAATCATTCAGTCCCTTTTTGAATGTTCCAATTGTAAGCCATTGTCAGATTTGATTTTAATCCACTTTTCTTTTGACCTTTTGTAGAAATTGACCATGTAATGCTTTTCTTTGCCAGCATTCTATTTGGGTTTTTATTACATTTTTTTCAATATTCATGTTATGTTTCCTGTATATTTACAAAATGTGATTTTTATCTTACATCTTTTTGGTTGCCTTTTACATAATCAGCCAATGCAATTATTTTTTTCTTCAACCTTGACCTGAAGTAAATCTTTGCCTCCATTTCTGCAGGATAGGTATAATCTATTAATACCACTACAGGAATGCAAGGCATTGTGAATAGCCATAAGTTTTCTTGTTTTTTTGGTTCAAATTGTTCAATTTGGCTTGTATTCAGTTAAATGATTTCTGCCGTTTATTGTATTGCAGGTATGGCCTGATGGCTTTGATGGTGTTTCCACTGTTCAGTTTTGTTTTTAGCAATTTTCTCACTACTACTATTACTACTACTACTACTACCATACACACACACACAATTAGTTGATATATATATATATTCTTAAGTTTTCACGGGTACTTACATGTATGGTATTCAGCTTTGTTGGGGTATTTTCTCACGTCATTATAGTTGTGCTTTTAAAGTTGTAGCAACGTTTCGGCAGAATCTCATCTGCCATCATCAGGCTTCTGTATTGTGTTCGTCTGTGATGCCAAAACATTGCTACAACTTTAAAAGCACAACTATAATGACGTGGGAAAATACCCGAACAAAGCTGAATACCATACATGTAAGTACCCGCGAAAACTTAACACACACACACACACACACACACATATATATAAATAAAAACTCAAGGCAGCAAACATACCTAAAACTCCAGACTCCTATTTTCCCCAACATAACCTTAAGATGGGCTGAAACTTTACCTATCATCCCCCTGATACCTTGATCAAGCACTGAGGTTGATCACCTATGCAGAAATCCGACCAAAGCCAGCAGCGAACTGTGTTTATATTGCACCTTACCTGCACCCACAAATTCCTCTTGGGACAAGCTGAAAAGATGAGACGCCTTGGGAGTTGAAGTCCACAAGTCTTCAAGTAGCCAAAGTTGGGGACCCCTGCCTTAGCACATGGAAGGCTTCCTTGACCAAATGGCCCCAAGGAATTGATCCGCCTTGTGGGCCTATGTCTATGCAAATAAGAAACCAAGATGACCCAAAGAACCTCGTTTTGGTCTCCAAACCTACACGCAGTCGTCGTCCCCCCACTCCCCTGCCCTGAATTGCTCCTCTCTGACTCTCCGCCTGGTAATTTTCACACCCGCACCCCACAACCTCCCCCGCCCGCCTCGGTTTGCCTCTGGGCACCCTCTGGGTGCTCCTTAAGCCAAAGCGCCCCTCCGCGCGAGCTCTCCCCTTCCCCCCCACCGACTCCCCATTTCAAGATCCGTTCGCCTTCCCCGGAGCTTGCCTCGGACTCCCGTTTCCATGGCTACCCTTCCCCGCGCCCTGCCCTGCCGCTCCGTTTCCATGGAAATTCTCTCCCGCGGCTACGCGGGGCAGGGGCTCTCCGGACCCACTCGCCCTCAGTGCGCAGGCGCAGCCCCGGCCTAGGCGCTCTCTTCCGCCCGGGCCTGGCAGCAGCGAGCGGAGTCGGGGCCGGGATCTCCCCGGGCCCAGGTGAAGGAGTTGGGAGGGTGGGGGCAAAAAAACAAAACAAAACAAAAAGGGGCAAGGGAGGCGCTTTGGCCGCCTTGTCCTCGGTGCCGACCCGGCTCCGGTGCTGAACTGACCCCGGCACAGGTACTCGCTTGTCGGCCAGCGGGCCTAGCGCGGGGCCAGCTCCAGATCGGGCTGGCAGTTCGTAGTAGGCGGCGGGCAGAGGAAGAAAGTCGGACTCCAGAGCTCCCTTTCTCTTCCCTTCTGGGTAGTGGCTGGCATCCCATTTCCAAGGCTAGATCTTTTCTCTGGGGTCCTGTGGGCGAAGCCAAGGAGCTTCGTAGAGATAAGAGAGCAGCAGAACTCTTTTGCCTGGGACAGTTCTCGTATTGGGGCTATTATTATTGGGGGAGGGCTGGGAGTCTTGGGGGCTTCGCACGATTAGGGGTTTGGGTGATCGTGTCATACTATTAAATGTGATTAAACAATGGCTGAAGTGGTCCTGGAAAGCGAAACAATTCCTGAAATCTGGCCTGCCTTAGAATGACAGAGCTGAGCACGGATTTTATCCCTGCTCAGTTACCAAAGTAATTTGCTCCCCCATGTGTAGCTAGCTAATGGGACACCATCCTTAGTCAGCTCAGCCTTTGTTCTAGCCTTTGTCTTTTTTTCCGTTTTCTTTTTTTAGTGTCACCGATCTATCCTTCCAATACCTGGGCCAGGGCTGGGCAAGAGGCAGCCATGACAAGGTGAGAAAGATGAAAATCGAATTTGTACTGGTGGGTACTGAATACGTTGGTAGAATATATTATTACTTCTTTAGGACTTTCAGCCAGCTGTTCTTTCTTGGTGAAGGTGGGCAAATGGTTGAGCTAGAGGTGGTCTGTGTAAGTTTGATGATGATGGATAATTGTTTGAATCTTGGGTTGATTATTAACTTGAATTTAGAAATCCTGTATTCCCACAGCACATTGAAATTGAGAAAGTGGCATGTAACCGACAGTCAAGAAAATAATATATTGCTTACACTGCTATTTTTTTTCTTTGAAAAGACCTGAACATACTGAATGGTCTTAACTTTTGGAACCTAACACTTGAATTACAATTCCTATCAATCCAGACCACTGGCCATAGGGATTGAGGGGCATTGTAATCAGATTTGGGGAAAAGTGGCTGAAGTTACAATGTCCTGCTTTTTAAATTTTGCCAAAGATCAGAATTTTGTTGCCTATTTCCTTTTTTTTCTAGCTCCCCTGTTTCCAGAGTAGTTTACAATGGCAAGAGAAACAGCAGTCCTCGCTCCCCAAGCAACAGCAGTGAGATCTTCACTCCTGCACATGAGGAGAATGTGCGCTTCATCTATGAAGGTGCAGAGTGGGAAGCATTTGCTGCATTTCCGCTAGATCATGGCATATTGTGCCGCCTTCTATCTTGTATATTACTTATGTACCACATACCATTTTATCAAGTATTGGTGTCATTTTTCCCCATATCAAATGTTTTTTAAAAAACATAGGCATGAGTAAGTGGAGTAAAATTACTGAAAGTGAGAGTCTTTAAAAGTCAAAACATTTATACATGGATCTAAAGTTTGGGATTGACAGACCAACATTGTAAGTTCTGTATAGTGGGTCTTCTAATTGCAAACAGTATGCTTTCTTTGTTTTTTAAACATTTCTTATAACATACCCTGTTTCTCCAACAATACGGCCTCCCCCAATAGGAAGTCTCAGCATGTTTTCTAGGCATGAAATGAAATTAAGCCCCTCCCCCCAAATTAAGGCCTATATTAAAACAAGCGAAATGGGGGGGAATGGTGGGGAGGCTTGCCGTTAGGAAGTACTTTTGTTGCACACCCGGATATGGTGCTGCCTGCGTTGACCCCGATACAAAGTGCCCCACCAACGCCGAGGTCAACATCCAAGCTGTTGCCGCCCGCCTGCTCGAAGTTGCAAGGGGGGCGGGAATTAAGTCACCCCCAAAAAGACGGCCTAGCCATTTTTTCGGGGCTCAAAAAAAAATAAGACCCGGCCTTATTATATGAGAAACACGGTAGAAGCATTGTTAGTGTTTAGTTGGCTGATTCGGTCAGAAAGCGCTTCCTTAGTCTACATACAAAATATTTTCTTATCTTATTCTCCTTTTCTGCAGCATGGCAATCTGTGGAGCGGGATCTCCGCAGTCAGATGGCAGGTGGTGAACGGGTTCTTGTAGAGGAATATGTGGAGAAGGTACCAAATCCCAGTTTGAAGGGTGAGTTTCATGCTGTCAGACACTTTCTTTTTCAATGACAAACTTACTGACATCCAGTAGAAATCTCATATTGTTTTATGTGAGCATGCATTTGAAGATAATTCAGAAGGATTCAATGAGTTCTCCAGGTTCGTTGTTTATAATATATATTTTTAGTACTTTGTCATATTAATTGGCTTCTATTTACTGGGTTTAATTATGTATATTCTAGTTGTCTTTCAAATGTCCAGATAGTCCAGAGTGATGATACTTTGGCATCTATTTTTTTCAGTGTCAGCTAGCCCCTTCCGTGAATTGTATGTTGTGTATTCCTTCAACTATATCTAGCTCAAAGTTCTTCTAGTAATTAACATTACTAGCATTAACATCAGTAATGAGGCAAATGGCTACATAAAATAACATCTTTCATATAATTGGTCCTAGACTTTGACATTTTCTTCTGTCTTAACTTTGGGCTTTGGCACATGGTGAAAACCATTGTTCACAATGAAATTAATTTGTGGCTGGTCATTGGTCATAGTTTCATATTACATAATCTAGTATCTGCTCTTACTATTAGCTGGTTTGGATGTCTTAGTAATAGAATGGGGGAATAGAAGTGTTTTTTAAAAAATAAATTATGTCGGAGGGAATAGTTCTGTGTAAATATGCTTATGCAAAAATTGGAGATTCTTTAAGATCTTAAAATCAATTTACTGAATAAAATATATCGGTATTTCTTTTTCTAGCAGTAAATAGTTTGCTATATGCTAATGTGTGAGCCCCTAGATTCATAACTATTAATTATAAGCAAGAACAAATAACTGTACCTGTCTTGGAGGTTTTAGTTTAAACTCCTATACAAAATAGAAAGTTAGATTTGATGGCCAAAGTAGTATTATCTAATATCCCAATATTATGATTCTAGTCCAACATTTTATTTATAATAATGATCAAATGAATGCACATAGGAAATTCAGAGGAAAAGAACAAAGAATGGCATTTTTCTATATATAAACTTTTATTGGCTCTGAACATTCTTTGTTCTTACTTATGATTAATAGCCATGCATTCTAACCTCTATGAATATGATGATTGCATAAATTCAGATATGCATTTGAAAGACACTGCATTTAACCTTGCTCAGTTTTATGTTAAGATTTTCTAGTTTCACAGTTTAGATTATGATTCCTAGGTAGAATTTTCAACTCTTTAGATATATAGTTGGTTGCACTGTTGTGAAAATAGCTATAGATTCTTATACTGAATAGAACTTACAGTGGAACATACAAATCTTTAAATAGATGCCTCAGTTATCTGTAGAATACTTTAGAATTTAAAGTGTTATTTAAAGAATTTAAAGTATTATTAATTAGGTGATGGTGGGGAATCTAGTAATTTTCTTCTTGCTAAAGTCAGTAGGAAGAAAACAACATGGGAAATCTGGAATTTTATCCTAAATTTTCTTCCTTTATTTTTTATTTTTTTGACAGCATTCAAACCTGTTGACTTGAGCGACCTAAAGCGACGGAACACACAGGACTCGAAGAAATCCTAAAGTGGCTTGGGCTGGCCCAGCCCCAGTGCTGACATGTGGCCACTGGTACATGAATTTGATAACTTTGTGTTGGTTTCCTCCTTAGGTCTGGATTGTGCCTGGGGCTGGCTCTGAATTTCCTAGGAAGGATTGGCTTTCTGCCTCTTCTTCTTAGCATTCCCTGGCCTGGGCTGCCTGTCTTCATTCTAGCACTGAGCCCAGGAGTTCCTTTTCCTTAGTAAATGACATTTTAACCTGACGATAGCCGAGTGGCTGGCATGTGTCCTGTCTGTCTACATGTGAAATAAGACAGAAACCTTGGGAACCACCAGACCCAGACTCTCCCTAAAGCCCTCCCAAAACCCAGCTCTTCTTAGGGAAAAGCTGAGAGGCTGATGGGAAAGAAGCAGCAGTGGTTATGCAGTCTATTCTGCCAATACAAACCAGGAGATTTTAGACTGCTAATACGTGAGCTTTTGGTCTGAAGAATGGAACAGTATTGCTCAGCCTGTTGGTACAGTGATGATGAAGAAGAACTGAAAAATAGAAGCGTCAAGCCCAGGACAGTTTCCCAAGTGCAAACTTTTTGAGATTCAACTGTATCTGGATAAATCTGACTGGTCTCCCTTACCGCGTGCTGAAAAGATGCACCAGATTCCATGGTTTTTACACCTTGATGACTAGCAGCCCCAGCCAGGGGGGAGGTGGCATTTCTGAGCTAGCCCCAGAGCCCAGCCCCCGTGCCCCAGCAGGGCTGGGGACAGCCTTAGTGTGTGCTGTTCACCAGCAAGTGGCAGAAGTACCCATGCTTGTGTCTAGCTCAGGCATTGGTGTTGAGGACCCTACCTAAAACAGGTAGGGAAGGGCATGGTGGCTGTTTCTTTCCCTTTGTTATGTCCCCCTTTGAATTGTGTCTGTCTTTAAGGGGTGTTGTAAATAAAACTGGTTAGTCATTTTGACATTCTGTTGTGTGAGCTTATCTTGCATTCTAGTTGCATTCTTATAGTGGAATTCACTTAGTTATCTACTTCTATAGTCTTTTCTGTGACCAATAATCAGCCTCCCCTGACCTAGTATTGCCTTTCTTGGAAGCAGGTGAATATCTTTATTTTTTTTTCCTAGTTGCTGTAGTGATAATATTTCGATTAGTCTTCCTAATCATTATTTTGGAGTGGCCCTGGCTGGTGGCAAACGAAATGACTATTACTGTAGCTTGTTCTTCAGCTAACCAGCTCACCCTAGCCTTGTTTGTTACATCTTTGGATCAGATGTGGCATACCCCTGAAAGAATATTAAGTATCTTTGTTCAAACTTCTACAGCGTTGGATAAAGGAACCTAGCAAATATCTGTTTTGCAGGAAGAGTCTTCGGAAGTGTTTCCTGATGCTTCTAAAGTGGAGGCAACTTTATTCTCTTCTGTTCATTACATATTATTCTGTATACAAGAGAATAGTGCTTGCATCCTGAAGTGAAAAAAGTGAGATTATTGAGAATCAAATCTTATAGGTGCTAATGTGAGGCAGAAGCTCTTACACAGACAATATACTATTTCAGCAATGGGATATTTTGCGCCCTTTGAATATGAAGCGTTTAGTACAGGTAGTCTTTGTTTAATAGTAGCGATTGGGGCTGGCAATTTTGTCAATGTCATAAAGTGTGACATCACATGACAGCAGTTGTGACAGTTCAGGTTGCTGTCATTAAAAAATTCCATATGGCCATTAATTGCACAGGATTACCATTTGTGACTGCCTGGCAGCTTCCCCATTGACTCTACTTGTCAGAATCTGGCAGTGAAGGTTACAAATGGCGATCAAAGGACTATGGGACACTGCGACCATCATAATTGTGATGCCCAAACCACTATGATGTGATTGCAGGGATGCTGCAGCGGCTGCAATGAGGATCAATCATCTCATTCAATGCTGTGATAACTTTGTAAGGTCACTGAACAAGGGATCATTAAGCAAGGAC